TGATCAGCTGATTTCAATTGCGGCACAAACACATTGCCGATCAGACACCGTCAGCCATCGCGTGTCTGCCTCATTGAATTTTCATTTGACATGACAGACAGTATAGCAACTCATATGAAGGGTAGCAACCATCAGATAGCATGAGATGTGGGTAACATGTGTCGCCTGCAATTGATGCTTTGAATAAATAATTAGAGTCGCAAGTGTGCTGAAAAACTAATTAATACAAATGCTTACAAAAGGCGTTCAAACGATTATATATTCAACTTCATCTTCATCTACATATATAAACTATACTAAAATATATGTATAAACTCATATATGTATGGATTATTATTTTCATAATTTAAAATATATACACAAATCCCGAAGCTAGAAAATTGGGATCCGTCTAATATTGTTTCAAATAGAAAAACAATAGGAATTTATGAGCATAATTTTAGGCGTTTTGGCATACTATTCTTTCTATAATAATTTTTTACATTTTGAAGTTTTTCCAGAATATATATCTTTGTTAAGCAAGTTACTATGCAAATCTTAAAATCTAATTTCTTACACAAGCTATCTTCGCTTCATTAAACCTCGGAATAGAGCGTATCGAAGAAACAACTGGTGTAATCCAAATATACTGGTATGATAAAGTGGAGATAGAACGGAAAAATTTTAAAACACTTCAATGGAGTATTCATATATTTCTTCTATTAAATCCTACTGCATAATTTTTTTTCGACAAGAGAGCAGAAGTCCAACATAGTGAACAAAAAATTTTAAACTTGAAAACAGTATACACTTTTTTTCTACTTAAGGGGTTGATATGAAGTTTTATAAATGTAAATGATCAGAATAATGAGACGAATTGAATATCGGATGGCTGTATCTACATCCATGCAAGTGATAACTAGAGATATATTAATAAGTCATAAATATTGTATCTTAATTTGGTACAGGACATCAAAATATGGAGAGGCATCTGTGTTTTGAAATATGTTTAAAAGTCGAGGTAGTTCCACATCCTAACAGATTTAATGTGCAAAATTGTCCTAATCGAAACATAACTTTTCAAATCACTAGATACCGAATGTGTGGACTCCATTGCACATGACTGCCTTTTTACCCGCAAATGTCTCACGTATAATTGTTTTAAAAATAAATTAATAGTTAAACCACATAATTTTGGGGAAAAGGTATATGAGAAATATGGATAAATTTCACCATTTTTAGAATATATAAGAAATATTTACTTTTTGCAATTTATTATAATTAATTATATCGAAACGATACATAGTGGATCCGAGAGAGACTCTCTCTTTAGCGACTTGTCAAACTTTTAGTATTTTCAAACAATTACCAACCGATCGCAATGTTTCTGACAGCCTGAAATGCGATTCTGCTTAAATTACTCTGTGGTTTCTGAAATATAAAACGTTTACTAAACTAGGCCTGTTAGAATGCTGAACACTCTAGTACCAAGTTTCATGAAAAATTTGACAAATCAATTTGGTTCTTCATAACAGATTTTTTAAAAGATCAGCTTTATAAAGTTTAATAAGGTTTCAGGTATTGCACGAAAAAATAATATTTTTGTTAATAATTTCGATTTTTCAAACCACCCTGAAGTGTAAATATTTTTTTTTACAAAAAACGACTTTTTTTTGGAAAGATGCCATTTTGTCTAAAATTTAAATTTTTCCTTCAATCGTTACCTGTATTCATCTATTGTTATAAAAAAATTTTTGGTTTTTGAATTAATGATAATTTTAAGCAGAAATATGTTCTTCATCGCCAGACACATTTTTCGGAGTTCCTCGTGCAGATCGGCTACGGGACCGAAATAATCAAAAAATTTACAAAATAAAACGCCGATGATTTAAAAAAAAAATATTTCATACAAAAAAGATTTATTTTCTGGCTTGCAAGTGGGTATACATAACCGCTTAAGCACTGCATAAATCGAAGAATATTGTGAAAGATTTAAGAAACTAAGTAGCTTAGTAAACGAATGATGACTTCTTCTCTTATCATTCTTTCCCGCTACTGGTTTTCATGAGTAACCCACAGCGGATATATCTACGAATTCTGCCTCAAAAAGAGTAGTAGTGCATTTTTCTACATAAATAAAGATTCCAGAAATGCGACAGGCTTTCGAATACCCCGATTTGTTGATTAACAAGGAAGTCTCAGCCATTTTATTATATATGTACATATATGTATATGACATTATGCATTTCTTGCTTAATTATATGAAACTTGACTCAATATCAAACTAATCACGCGTAATGGCTGTTTCACAGCAATTTTTTTTTATTATTTTTTATGAAATGAATGCAGTAATTCGCATAATCTTGGCGAATATCTCGGCATTACCTGCTTATCGCTGTCATCACACGAGTGTGTGTGTGTGTATGCGTTTACAATACGACATGTGTGTGTGTTTTTCCTAGCAGTAGGTAGCAATTGTTTATAGCCTGCAATTCTTCAGACAAAAGCAATAAAATATATAGCAAAAAGAAAAAAGAGAGACATAAATTGCATCTGACATGTGTAAATGCAGTCAACACTATATCATTTGTTTAAATGTGTATATATATATTATATATGGAGGTGTTGGCGCATACAAAGCTGCATAAAGATGCTGTGGTTTATTGACTTCATACTGCATAAGCTTATATTAATATGTACATATGTACCTTCGTGCATGCATTTGTTTACAACGATGATTCAGGAAGTTCACAGGCGAATCTTACGCTTTCGCCATGCCTACACACACACACATACATATGTACAGACACTTGCTTCAATTAATAATCACATAAATAAAATGCTACCGACCTCCTGACTGACGTTTTAATTTTTTTTTTCATAAGTCACTTTAATTGCATTGTCACACTGTGTTTGTATATACATATATAAATATATGTAAATATGTGAATATGTATGTATAAATATATAGTATAAAGTTACATATAAACTAGTAAATTCTAATTTGAATAGAATATGCTCTTGAACTTGCGATTTTTCTATGCCGCTTTTTTAATGTGTGTGTATGTAGGGAATACATACTTATGGAAATTCACGAGGTCGTAATACATCACTTGGGTTTAGTTGAGACGGCCAATTGAATTAGTTGCGTGTGATATTTTTCACATTTCTTTATCTCCATTTGAATACTTAGAAAATTACAAAAGAAATAAATTGTTACTTCATAAATACTTACTGTCCAAATATTTAGTAAATAGAGTTGCCACCTTTGCTTGAACAGAAGTTAAACTAATTGAAACAAAATGATTGGTGTAAATAAACTTTTGATGTGAAGCACATGTGTTGTCTGTTAATTTTTTGAAAAAAGTTTTGCCATCAGTCAGAAAAGTAAAAAACTATTAATTGCAGTTATGGGTTATATCCACTTGCAAGTCATAGAAATGGCGCTTTTTCGTGAATATTTTTTGAAGAGATGAAAACAGATAATATTTGAAGGACTAGTCAAAATTTTGATGTTCGACAAAATGGCGGCTTCCCAAAAACGGGTTTTTTTTTTGTGAAAAAATTTACACTTCAGAGTGGCTTAAAAAATCGATTACAAAAATTTCTCAGAAGGGCGTGTGAAAATTTCAAGTCGATCGGTCCAGCCGATTCGGAGAAATTTTCCTCACCGACTCAGAACACAGCTTTTCAAGAAAAACGCGGTTAAAATTTTGGCAGCCGATTAGGTTAGTTTAAATGGTGATTCCTAACAGCAAACTCACTTGTACAGCTTATAACGCCGGTCCGTTGTGGTACCTAAACTTCGTATACAATGCTTTGAGTGTAGTCAGAAATGACTGACATTGTTTTGGGTATGTCTCCTGTTTCGTCGACGCCCGGGATGTTTCAACCTCAGTCTTGCAAAAGCAGCAGAGGAGCAGGGGGCTAGATGTTTCCAAATCACATTTTTCATAATAATACTTTGACAATTTGAGTCCGACGTGGACAGACAGCATGATGTTCGAAAGGGTCACCTATTACACAAGCCCTCAAACGATTTGGCCCCCTCGGAAACTGCAAGGCCGAATAGCTTGCTAGCGATGGAACCATTTCTCTAATTTCATCCGATTGGAAGCGAGTCGGTTTTTCGATGTCATCTTTCTTTCTGGCATTGGATCACTGCACCTTCAGTGAGCTCAGTAACATAAGCGCTGATCAATAACCATAACTTGTGCGACTAGGAGCTCCTTCTGGCCCAGTGTAAACCGTAAGAGGTCCTCCGAACTACTAGCTCTTAACAAAGCCAATCTCACCGCAATTGTTGGTGTTTTGACTAGACACTGTCCAATAGGTTTAAGTAAACGCGGTGGGGCTAAATATTATGTCTGACGCTCTTTGACAAAGCTATTGTATATGGAGTAAGGCGAGATGGACATATTGTCACTCATCCATTGCTCAGTTTTTGCCAGACTGAGATTGAAATATCTCGGTAGATACACTTTTGGTGAACCTAGCGAAGTGGCTGGGATTGATATTAACCGCCTTAATAATTTGTTGTAAGCTCAAAACGCTTCGTCGATCTATGAGGATCTGGTGATCTACCTTTTAGGAGTTTATGAGTAACACAAAGCCCAAATATCTGTCCAAGTAAGATGCATCGATTTTGGATTAACCATATGATCGAACCTGTCTTTAAAATTTAAAATTAATTGATACAATAGCTTTTTTTTGGAATTCCCAAATATCACCTTTTTTAGGATGTGACACTATTTGGATTAGAGTTGGCAACTATTATCATGTAATATAACTTAAATTTTTAAAAATCTTTTAATTTATATTCCGGGCTATTTAAACGGGATTTAATTATTCAGAATAATATTATAATCCACAGCTATTCATGATGTGCGTGGCTAATGAAAAGTTTTCAAGATTATTCAGCTTCAAAATTCAAAACCTATTTCAATGAAACATTTAATAACTAAATATTAATAATAACAAAATATAAAATCTATTATCGAAAATATCAATAACACATCAGTTCCTCTCATATGTATGTCACTAATGGTATAATCTTGTTTGTAAACCCATATTTATACCATTTGAAGAGACTAGTGACGTAAAATCTTAGAAATCGTGCTCTTCATCTCAAGCAAAGCAAATTTTTGACCAACACAATTACGTGGACCAGCACTGAAGAGAACGTAGGCAAAGCTATTTATTTTTTCGATATTATCGCTATAAAAACGTTCGGGTATAAACTGTTTGGGGTCCTTGAAATACGAAGGATCACGCAAGGTATGATAAATCATAACTGTCACATTGGTATTGGCGGGGTAAAGCTTTCCGTCTAAAAATTTTGTAGATCCAATGATACAAAAATTAGTAAAATTCTGATTTGAGATTATACACAAAATTCGCTAACTCACCTAAATAAATATCTTGCTCAATATAACGTCCAATAGAGGGTACTGGTGGATACAGACGCATCGATTCCTTAAAACACATTCCAAGTATTTGAGTTCTTGTAGATCGCGTAATGTGATTGGTCGCAGCTTATCATCACCGATCACAGCGCGTATCTCTTCGAAAACCTTCTGCTGTACGGTCGGGTGACGCGAGAGCAGATAAAAAGTAAATGAAATACCGCTAGTCGTGGTGTCGTGACCCTCAAACATGAATGTGTCCACTTCCTCGCGTATATCGTTGTTGGAGAGTGGTTGACCGTTAGTCTCTGCCAGCAACAACATATCCAGAAAAGCTGTGTGTTTTTTACGGCCAACATCTTCGTCATCGTATTGGTCTTCGGGTAATTTGGTTTGTTCCAGTAGTTTTCGCCGCTCTTCGATAACTTTGTCGGTGAAATCGTGCATTAGCGCAATGCTACTGTGGAGTTGCTTATATTAACTACGTGCCGTGAGCCATAGCCAGAAATCGAACCTCTGCAGCATTGATATAAAGCGCGCCGATGTGAGGGCCGAAACACTGACGGTAGAAATAAGCGTTCGGAACCCCAAAATTTTAAAAACCGAAAAATATATAATTTATTGTTATTTTGGTTAATTGTCAAATGGTTTTCAATCTATTTAAAAAATTTGACCCACATCAGCCTCCAATGATCTCCAAATACTCGTGTTCGCACGGCTTTCACGTAAGGTAAATCTCTTTGAATCTGCGCGTGGATTTTCACACCCATAGCGTTTTCTAGAAAATAAATTAAAAGAAAAGAAAAATCTGATTCGTATCAATTCCTCAACACCTCTATTAGTACCCACCCGCTATCACATCCAAAGCCAAGGAACAAACAAACGGATATAAATTCACCACAGTCTTGCCATCAGCTTCATCTCTCAACAAATCCATCATAATATTACTTTGCCTCGCGAAAACTCCGACGAATTCTTCCAAGATTTTAAAATGAAATGTTGGCGTAATGATTTTTCGTCGACTATGTCATTTAGATCCGGTGCTTAGTAGCAAACCCTCACCCAACCACGAGCTCAGCAGTCCGTAAAGATTACTTTTCGCCAACACTTTCTGACTACTCAATAGTGGTTCGATAAATTTGGGATCCGCTGTCAAAATAGTCGCTTGGTTTAAAAGCCATACATTGCAGGTTTTGTTGTTATTCTCAAGCACTTCGCCAGTGAAGTTGATCATATCTATTGCATGAAAATTATCTATAGCTTTTTTATCATACCAGTTGTTTGCTCTATTTCTTTTTACCAGCTGGTGTCTGATTGATGAGATGATGTGCCACGCCTACAATTGGCAGGCTTGGCATAGAGTTAATGCCATTTTTCTTGAAAATCTCGTTATGTCGCCTTTTTCGCAGGTAGTCACCAACTATGAGCAACGTCAGTATACCTATAACAAGCGCTAAAAACATATTTTTTATACTGAACAGACCAAGAATCACAGAAACCGCCTCCCGCCTTTAGAGGCAAAAACTCAAACTAATTTGGCAGGCGATTACATTTTTAAGCAATAACAAAAACTTCGTTGGTAATGCTGATTAGATTAGCATGTTATTAAGATAAGTTGGCAACATCAAACTCCAAGATTTGCATTGGACTTTACGATTTGATTAGTGATTGCATTTTTTTGTATTGATTTTGTTTATGTTTGGTAAAGCGCAAACATTTGTTTAATTCTATTTTTGTCTTAATATTAATCCAATATTGACTTCATTATACAATAACAGAAAATTATATTTCTCTCTTTCCATATATTTTTAAGCTTTCCTTATCTTAATACTAACGAGTGTTATTTATACTTGCGCCTACGAAATTTTTCACGAATTTCCAAAAATCAGATATCAGTCACAAAGTTTGTAACACCTAGAAAAAAACGTCGGAGACCTTATAAAATATGTGTATATGTAAATGATCAGCGTGACGAGCTCGATTTAGCTTTCCGTTAGTATATATACGAGCTATTCTCTCAGTTTTTGAAATATCGATCTGAAATTTTGCACACTTCCTATTCTCCCCAAGAAGCTACTCAAATGTGGGAACTACTGATATCGCAACCACTATAGCATATAGTTGGCATACAAATTAAACGATCAAAATTAAATCCTTGTATGAAAAACTTTTTATTTGACACGATATCTGCCGAAATTCGGTACTGAATATTCTCCAAGGCAACGCTACAATTTTCGAACAAATTAGATCGGACTACTATAGCATATAGCATTTACCTTCGGAGCAACCGAAGTTAACGTTTTTTCTTGTTTTATTTGCTTATTTATCCATATGTTTATTTTTCGCTAAAATACCACCAGAAACAACAACTTGAAAGAATTAGTTTAAATATTTGTATATTGCATATATTAACCAATTAGAACAATAATTTTATATGACTATTCTCCAATAAGTGAATTTATTTGATTTACGATTTGTCCCACTGTTGAATCAGCTGTTTTGTGTTGTGTTTGCAACGACGAGCGTGTTCAGCATTGCAGCGCACGCTTTGTGAAATCTTTCTATACATTTTTGCCGCTTCTTCATTGCACTCTTCTGTGTATTGAATTTCTACGATTTCCCTTTTTATTTCATTTGTATTATTCTCATCGCATTCTGCTATGTTTGTTTTCATTTACTCCGCTGTGGCCAGCTTGCCATGTGCGGTTTATTTCAAATTCTGCTGGCGCTGCTTTGTTTTCTTTCGATTCCGCTTTGTTTGGCTTTATTTATAACTTGTCGGTTTTTAATTTCTTTTTTAATTACCCCTACAAACACACACACACACACCCATACAAAGGTTTCTCACATGTGCACTTGCACTGAAATTTATTATCAGCACTTTTGCTTTAACGAATTTTCACTTTACTCCAATTCACAGCACACATATTTTCCCCAACGCTTGCTCTTTGCTCAGTGCTGTTGTACCAGCTCATCGCACTCTCGACTCTCGCTTAATTGATTTTCTTTTCATGTTTTTCGGTTTTTGTTTTAATTCCTTCGCTTCGTGCCCGCTGACACATTCTACATGTGTTTCTATTAAACACTTGATTGCCTCTGCTCCTATGTGCCGCCGTGTGACTCTGGGTGTGTGTTCATGTTCATGTGTAGCTCCCCACATGTGGGTGTATTTGTACGTTGGTCGTTCGCTCTTGGTCTGGTGAGAGTTCTAGACACTTTCGTCTATTCGACGACCGTCAGTTGCAAAAGCGGGCATCTTCAAGTGGCAAGTAGGTAGCTAATAGTGTCGCGTTCAACGTGTTTACGTTGCGAGCACATCCGCGTTTCGGTTTGGTTAAGTAGAAAATTCACTTTTGTGGCACGTTAGTGAAATTCATTCAGTTTAGTGGACGTTTTTTCGCCAAACGGATGTCTAGTGTGTGCTCTGCGATTAGAAGTGATTTCTATTGGCGGAAGTGAAGATCAGAAATTAGGTTTCTCTTTTAACAAATGTGCCTTAGGTAAATTGGCATACAATTTTGTGTAGAAATTAAATTAAAAATATTTTTAATTAAATCATTTTAAAATAAAAAGTAAAAAAAAAATGTATGAAATTTAAGAAAAAAAATTAAAAATATTTTTAAGTGAAAAAAATATTATATTTATGGTGTAAAAATAATTACGAGAACTTAAGCGAAATCATTTTATGTATAACGCATAGAGGAAACGAGCGAAATAAATGAAGCTATTAACTAATTTAAAAGTTTATAAAAATTTCACAAAATACAAAATAATCAAAACTTCCTGATTTAAAATATATAATTAAAAATTAATAAAATAATAATTAGCCCATTAATTTAATTTATAAATATTAAAATAAATAAGATTTATGGCTTAAAATATATGCCAATTTTTCGCAACTCAAAATATAATAATAAAAAATTAATGAAATAAAAATATATAAATACTTACAAATTTAAGTTTAAAAATAATTAAGTTCAAAAATTTTTAAAATTCAAAATATAAAAAAAAAACTAAATGAAATTTTTCTAAATAAATAAAAATTAATAAAAATAATAACTTGAAAATATAAAATTAAAAATTTTAATTTAGACACCATTAATCAATTAAAATAATAGTTTTTAAAATTTTTCAAAATACAAAATAAAGGTATTTCATATTAACGGGATATATAAAATAATAATAAAAATTAATAAAAAAGTTTATTATTTATTTTTGTAGCATATTATAAAATTATCAAAATAATTTATATAGGCTTTTTTAATAAAGAGATAAAAAAAATTTATATGAAAATTTTCGAAATATAATAATTGAGAATGCGATAACCAGCATATTTTCGAAATAAAACGAAATATAAATTTTTAAAAAGAATAAACTTAAAATAAAATTAATTTTTATTAATTAATTTAATTATAATCGAATTTAGTAGAATTGAACAACCATTTTTTACAAAAAGTAAATTTAAAATAATGAGAACTTCATGTTTTCGAAACAAAAAAATGAAATAAAATATTTTCAAAAAAGATAAATTTTCAATAATTTAAGCTGTATAATTTCAAAAAATAAATTATATTAAAAATTTACTGCATAATTTCGAAAAAAAAAATTTTGTTTTTCTAAATAAATTCGTATTTTCGAAAAAAGAATTAAATTAAAAATGTTCAAAGTAAATAAATTAAAATTAAGTTGAACTTCATAATTTCAAAAACAAAAAACTAACAAAAAAATTTCAAAATATTATATATAAATTAAAAGGAAGTTAAACTGCGAAAAATTGAAATTAAAACAAGTAAGGAAGGGCTAAGTTCGGATGTAACCGAACATTTTATACTCTCACAAAGTCAAATGGTATACTCGTTTGAGATTTCTTTGTGGATTGACTGATATTTTCGGTAGAGGGTCAACTATAGGCACTGGGGTCCACATATTTAGTACTTAGGGGTTTGAACAGTTTATTTACATATTTTTATATACAGTAGATTTAGACAATTTTTGGCCGCAGGGTGGCATACTTTAATTGCATTATTCACGCAAAGTTTTACCCCGATATAATCATTGTTACCTGATTTGCATAGTGGAAAGTGAAAGAATCAGATGGAATTGAAAATGGTGTTACATGGGAAGTAAGCGTGGTTGTAGTCCGATTTCGCCCATTTTCGCACTATGACATAGAAACATAAAAAGAACGTTATGCACCGAATTTGGTTGAAATCGGTTGAGCAGATCTCAAGATATGGGTTTTCACCTAAAAGTGGGCTGTGCCACGCCCACTGTCTAATTTGGAACGCGGTTCCTATAAAGCCAATTTATACCATCTCAGAGATAAAAGTTAATGTCTCTGGCGTGTTTAGTGCTTGATTTATCGCGCTTTTAGTAGTTTTAAACAGTACCGTTATATGGGGAGTGGGCGGAGTTGCCACCCGATTTCAACTATTTACACACCGTCAATAGAAGTGCTAAAAACATTTGCTTCTAGTGAATTTTGTTATTATAACATTAGTGGCTTAGGAGATATGCACATTAAACCCATTAGAGGCGGGACCACGCCCACTTTTTAAAAAAAAGTTCTAACTGCAGATGCCCCTCCCTAATGGGATCCTGTGTACCAAATAACAGTCTTGTATCTTTTTGCGGAGCTTAGTTATGGCAAGTTATTTAATTTTGATTAATGGCGTTTTGTGGGCGTGGCAGTGGTCCGATTACGCCCATCTGCAATACCAACCGTCTCACGGTACCAAGAAACATGTCTACCAAGTTTCATAAAGATATCTCAATTTTTACTCAAGTTAGAGCTTGCACGGACGGACGGACGGACGGACAGACAGTCACCCGGATTTCAACTCGTCTCTTCATCCTGATCATTTATATATATATAACCCTATGTCTAACTCGATTAATTTTAGGTGATACAAACAACCGTTAGGTGAACAAAACTATTATACTCTGTAGCAACAGGTTTCGAGAGTATAAAAAATTAATTCTAAATAAACAAATAATTTTCAATAGAATTGAATTAAAAATAAGTTGAACAGCAAAAAATAAAAATTAAATAATTAGATTGAAAGTAAGTTTAATTTAAAAAAAATATAAATTTTCAAATATAAAAATGTAGATTTTTAACAAAAATATAAATAAGTAAAAAATTTTCAAAACCATTAAGCTGCATAACTTCGCAAACAAAATTTAATAAAACTAAAATAATTGCAAATGATAAAGTTGAAAAGTGCAATCAACAGCTACAAATATCAGAAATAATAAACAGCAATAATTAAATAAAAATTTTACCCCCCGCAACAGTAGAGCGGTGTCTGTGTATCTCAAGTCGTGTGCGCAGTGCATTCACACACATACATATATAAATATTTATACAAATACATATAAAAGCTACCGCAAACAATTCTTCGGCTCATAAAATAAAGTGCATTGAATTATAATAAATTTACAAAAGCAACAACAACAAATGCTTACATGTGTCTGTATATTTGTGTAAGCATATACATATATGCACGCGCAAGGGTAATCCATGCAGTCACGTAAGAATACTTAGCCGCGTTTAAAAATATAAATAAACACAGCGACGGAGCGACGGCTGCGTGTCTATTTGCCATCGCTTTGAGATAACATATCCGACAGATACACACTGTAAGCGCCTAACGTTCTGTAAAAAGATAAGAACTGTATGGACACACTCGTCTGTCGGTGCGTCCGTGTGTGTATGTGCGCGCGTGAGTTAAAGTAAATAAAACGTGATTTGCTGGTAAATGCACAGGCATTGTCTCACCAAAGCGTTGCAATGCCAACTTGTAAGCGCTTATGAGCTTGTGTGTGTGTGTGTGTGTATGCGAACACACTTCAAAGTCATAAAAAAACTACAAAAAAAAAACAACAGTGCTACTCCAACAATAATAAACCTTTGACGTTTATCTTGCAACGCAACGTTGCACAATCGCAAAACCATACCAATCGCTTAACCAGCACCCACAACACTTTGCACCGTTAATCTGTTTTGTTTCGAGTGGAAATAAATAATTACCGCTACATTGACAATCCGCAATCCGCAATTATGCTCGCCATTAAGGAGTGCCTGATACGCGAGGGTGTCTTGAATTTGACGTCAACGGCCAATCTTGGCAATGGTGGACTTGCCGTTGAAGAAAATCGAGTTGGTAGCAGTGGCGCAGCTGTTGCAGGTGTTGCTGCAACTTCCAACACCAACAATACTCACGGCAACAAATTTAGTGACACAGCTGCTGTCAGCAACAATTTGCGCGCCATTAGCGCGAATCACACTTACAACAATGATAATCGTTATAAACGCTATAATGATATAATGACAGCAGCAAGAACAACAAATAAAACAACATTGGCACTCGACCCACAGCTGGTCAAGTTGAAAGATCAAAGTTAGTATTTAAATAGACACTTATTTGCATATTTTTATATTTGCTGAATGTGTTTTAGTATTTATGTATGTATGTATGTATATGTGTGTGAGTGTATAGCGTGTAGCAAGCTACGTGTATTAGCACTAATTATATGGTATTATTCATAGATTACTCATTACAAAAATTTAAATATGTACGTATGTATGCACGAGTATTTAGTTGCACTTTTGTTATTATTGTACGTGCTTTGTTGCTAGTTTTTCCTCTAATTTCGGCGTTTTGAGTCAATACTTTATTCTATATTCATTCAAATTCGCTTGATGATCTCAGGTAGTGGTTTACCGCGCATACTATTGTAAAGCTTGATAGAGTTGCCAACAATATTGTATTTGAGAAAAAATTTCAGGCTTCGGAAATTCTTGCATTGTGCATTGGAAAATAATCTATGACAATTTAGATAAAAATATTCACTCAAATAAACAAAATTTCATGGCATGGCAGTTATATGCTATAGTGACCCGATCTGAAAAATTTTTTCGAAAATTCTAACGTTGTGCCAATATGTGCCAAATTTTGTGAAAATATCTTGTCAAATAAACAGTTTTCTATAAAAGGACTTGATTTTGATCGATCAGTTTATATGGCAGCTATATGTTATATGTATGTCCGATAACGACATATATATATATATTCGCTGGAGGGAAAAACCATTTCAAAATAATGATAAAGGTACCAATGTAAAAAAGTAGTTCTAAATCTTCGGCCAATACTATGCATCCAAAATGTTGCAAGACTTTCGGGTATACGTAACCGAAACCGGGTTTAATCTGCTTAGATACTATTACCTTCGGACTGTTTGTGCAATGTGTTTTGCTATTGCAATGATATTATAAACAACCTTTGATTTTTTTTGTAATGTTGTTTTCTTTTTTGATAAGTGGCAACTCTATATGTCAAATATGTTAACTTTTAAACTTCCCTCAAACGTTTATGCTTAGCATACGTATGTATTTTATAAAATGAGCAACCATTTACACTCGTTAAGTGGCAACTCTGTTCCAAAAAAAAATTTATGTCAATTTGAAAACTACTGACCACTTTCACGAAGATTTTCTTAAATTCTCTAAGTTTTGCCGTAAATTTTGTTACATTTTAATCAGTTTCACTTTTTCCATAGGTGGCAACTTCTGTTCTTCTGTTAGTTATATTAGCGATCAGATATCTCGAGTACCCTTCAAAAGACTTTCTGAATCATGTTCTACTCAGTTTAGCTTTTTCGTTAGATGTCAACTCTGTTCACTAAGTTCGGCATACATTTTGTTATATTATATTTTAATTAGTTTTATTTATTCCATAGGAGGCAAATTGGTTTTAAATAGTTGTTTTTGCTAGTTATATTAGCAGCTAGACAACTCGAGTACCCTCCAGAAATCATTTTTAATTAGCTTAAAATGGTCAGTTATTTCGTCATATTTTGCTAGGCTTTACTTTGTCGATGTGTGGCATTTCAATTCTAAACTACGTAAAAAGTGAAGATATTTAATATACAAACTTTTTTCTTGTTATATTTATAGCTTTTAATTAATTTTATTTTATAATATTATTATTAAATTTTTTCAGCTTTTGCTCATTTTATCAAATTTATATGATAATCTGTAGAGCTATGTATATATGTACCTACCCATAAGAATAGGCTCATATTTCACAATAGATCTCATATCTCCACAGGTTGTTAATTTCATTAAAAAAACCGAACGTGTCTACCTTTCCGCTCGCTCTTCACACGACCAATTAATTTTGTTTAATAACTCAGTCATTCTAGTTTTGAAGTTTATTGCTCTTCGCTTTGAGATCTCTAACTTTTGATATTCGCTGACATGACTACATATTTATACATACAAATATATATTCGTCTATAAATAAATAGGTTTGTGATGTACTATTATTTGGCGCAGCGGTATTTAATTTTTGCAACTGAGTTCTATGTCATGCTATCATAGCGTAAAATCATATATGTATTTTAACTATTTTTTAGTTACCATCTTCGTTTTCATCTCATTTATAATAATTATTTTCGTGTTATAGTTTGTGAGCTTCAAAGTGGTTTTTTTTATTTTAATCATAATTGTTGTGACACACAATACTCATTTAAATGAGATCATCTTAATAATTAAGTGCTTGTTATCTCGAGTTAGTATTTAGCACAGGTGGAAAGTTTGTGTTTCTGTGGTGATTATGTACTTTGTAGAACTCTATCGCAAATGTTTCGAGGAAAAAAATTTACTTTTCGACATGCCAGTGTTGGTAGGTATCGACCTATGAGAATCAAATTTGTGGGTATCGGTACTTTTCATATGCGGTACCGAGTACTCTCCTTGAATATGATAATTTTAATAAATCTTAATAATTTCTAAACAAATGTAATTTTAAATATATGTTCATGTTTCAGAAAAAAAATTGATAATAATTGCTTTTGAAAAAAAAAATATCGATACAAAGGCCAAATATCTGATAAAAGTTTAAAAAATATTTATCTGATTATTATTTCTAGACTATAACCTATAAAATTGGCTTATTTTATATTTTATATTATCGTTTGTGCGCAATGGTATCGGGGATTTACTTTGTACATGATATTTTTTGCACTTCTTGGGTACTTTCTTGTTATGTGTTCGTGTTTGTCTAATAATTTTAGCCTACTTGGACTTTGTCCCCAAATTACTAAAGAATTTGATGAAACACTTAAATATACAAAAGTGTGGCAACCCGTTAAAAAAAAGCACCAAAAGTAATTATCAACAAAACAAATAGTGGCTAATATTTTAGATCAGTGTGTAGAATAGCTAAAGTGTTTCCACTAATATAGTCTCCTACTTCCTTATTCTTCCCCCCCTTTCTCTTTGGCAAGCAATGCAAATGGCTTTGCCGGATTATATGCTCTGAGTGCAAGTGAATGAAGTGAGCATTCAAATAGTTTTATTATTAGCTCAACAAAACTGCATATACCCAAGTGATCACATCTATACAAATATATACTATATATAAAACAGAATTATTTAAAATTTTTCTGGTTGTCGGCAAGTGCTTAGCATAAGTGTATGTATTTTCAATTTTAAGTGTTTTTTTTTTTCGTTGCTAAAGTAAATATTTATTTATGTACAAATGTTAATGTATCGGCCTACTTCCACATTTTTTTCGTAATCTGAAGCGCATCAGTCAATAGATTACACGAGTATCATTGTATACACTTATAACCCCTTAAGTCCACTTGCAAGTCAGAAAAAAAAATAATTTTACGTAAATTTTTGTTTGAAGAGGCATTTTATATAAAAAATAATGTATACTTACAGAATAAATTCATTTTGAAAAATTTAGGATTCCCTTGATCCCGCAGCCGATCTCCAGGAATTCCTCCGAATACGGGTGTCTGGCGGTGAGAAAGATTATTTTGCTTAAAATTAACTTAATCCAAAAAACAAAAAAAAAAAATTTATTGTACAGTAGATGAGTACAGGCAATGATTGAAGGACTATTAAAAATTTTGATTTTAGACAAAATGGAGGCTTCCCTAAAAAAGTAGTTTTTTGGCTAAAAAATCGCAATAATTATCTGAAACTTTTTTCCTTCGGTCGATACCTGATATATCTAAAAAGGTGGTGTGAAAATTTCAATTCGACCGATCCAGCCTTGGTACACATGTTTATGACATATCTCGTCCAAAAATTGTCAAAATCGGACCAAAACTGTTCAAGCCGCACACACCGAATATGTGGACCCTATTTTTGCCGTAAATATTGGTCAATCTGTAAGATATGTTATTGAAATTCGGGGAAACTGTTTGAAAATAATATACCCTTGTGTCATAAATAGATTAAATTGTGTCAATAGTTAGAATACAAGATACTTGTATAACTGATATTCATGATTTTAAAACGTCTGTCTGACTCCATATATATTGTCGATGGTATGTAAGATACCTTAATGAAACTTAGATAGCATTCTATTCCCGGCTTCGATCCTTGCAAGTTGCAATAGTATCAAATGTTCGGTTACACTCGAACTTAGCCCTTTCTGACTAGTCCTTATGGTTATAGTTAAATACATCCTGGTTCAGGTATAAAATATATTAGCGCTGAAATGGCAGTGCCAGTGTTTAAATTTGAACTCTTTATAGAATATTATTTATTCATTATTATATAAAGATTCGATAAATTTTATTTCGAAGATTGTATATTTTTCTATTTGGTTTTACTCTATTTATGCCGGTTTTTGCAAATTTTGTATAAAATATGATTGACGCTAAAATGTATGCTACTTGTGTTATATAATTATAGATAAACAGCAGAAATGTTCTATGAAATGGTATTGCATATTTTTGAGGGCAACCTACAAATTCGAATTTTCGTTAAAATTGAAAAAATCTCCGCTACCTCAGAACGGTACTTAATAATAACTTAATTTCTTCTAATGATTTAATTGTAAAATATGCGATTAAATATTTTTATATAAGCTCATCTATAATATAACTTTTATTTCATAACTACGAGCAGGGTCTATCGATTTACTCAAGGTCACATTATATGTGAACCTAACTAATTATATTTGCTATAGTTGCTTACATAAGTTACAAGAGCCCTGCGGTGTTACATACGAAACACATATTTTCTTTCATATTTTCCTTTCAACAACCATTCTTGTACAATCTTTGGTTACCGCTTTAGCGCTGTGCTCAAGCATTTTCTTTTCATGCACCAAAGTGCGTAATAAAATAATAACAATAACCACTCGATATGTACGAGTATTATTGCCATAATTAGCTTTTTTATGCCTTGTTGCATAAATGCGTGGAAGCCACAAGAGTGCGCATAATTACACACACAAAGGAATTTTTGCGGCTTTTAACCAGCACACATACAGACATAGATACATTTGTAGCATTGAACCAGCAGAATTGACCGTGAACTTTGCGAATTGAATATTAGTGAATATCGTAAGTATATATTTACAACGGATTAACT